AGGCCACCAGGTAACCAGAGTGCCTGAGGTTACCAGGTGAGCAGCATGCTGAGGCCACCAGGTGTCCAGAGTGCCTGAGGCCACCAGGTGACCAGGGTGCCTGAGGTTACCAGGTGGGCAGCATTCGGGGGTCACCAGAAACCGGGAACTAGGAGGAATCAGGATGTGATCCCAGGCAGTTTGGATTCAGAATATCTGCTCTCAAGTGTCATTATAGAGTCAGAGGCTGGTGGTCACCAGGCATGGCTGTCATTCACATGTGACTCCGGGAGCTTCATGTCAAGTATCCCAGTTAGTTTTCTGGAAAACCCTGAGGAGGGAGATCCCATGATTCCTGCTTTACAGACAAAGAACATTTGGCTCTGGGAGGTTTGAGTATTTATTCATTCAGCACGCATCTGCTGGATGCCTCTCCCTGTGTGAGGCATTGGTCCAGATGCTGGGGATGCAGGCATGGGCAAGAGGCCCGTGGCCTGCTGTGCGCGTGTGTACATGGACATGCGTGTTCATGTGCGTGTGTGCAGGAACAGACAGTAAATGGTAACAAACAAATGCAGAGTAATGACAGATTACAATCCGTGCCACCAAGGCTTCCTTTGTTTAGGGCGGCCAGGAATGTCCTCCTGAGGAGGTGCCTCGGTGATGTCAGAAGTCTCTCGGGGACCAGCCTGAAAGGGCAGGGGTTGGGAAGAGCATTTTAGGCAGAGGAAACAGTGCCTGCAGAGGCCTTGGAGTAGGAAACGTCTCAGTAGGCTGGAGGAAAAGGGGGCTTGGAACTTACTCCAAGGGTGATGGGAAGAGGCAGGGGAAAGGGGGGGTCGGGGAGGGGGAACAGCCATTTGCTGTTAAGAAGATCCCTGGTATGGGAGGGAGTGGGCCTGCAGGGATGGATTGCAGGAGGCAGGGGTGGAAGGGGGAGCCTGGGAGGGAGCTGCTGCAGCATGGGGGTCTCCTCCTGTGTCATCTGCATAGCCCATGTCTCCCCCAGGCCCTGGCTGAGGAGCCTGGGGCTGGGCGGCTGCTCTGTGCCAACTGACGTGCCCAGGGGTCCTTGGTATTTGCAGGATGAAGAAGTGAATGGAGTTGGAGAAGGAGAAGCCTGGGGGTAGGCTCTATAAGGGCTTGGCGCTCACTGCAAGCATTCCTCAGTGCTCTTGGGGCACAATCTAGAACATCCAGATTCCTTAGCAAGCCACAAGAGACCCTCCCCCAACCCGCACTTGTGATCTGTCAGTACCTTCCACCTCACCCTGACTCTTCTGTCTGCACAGTTCTACACTTGCCATCTGAAGGAACTCACAGTCATCTGGGGGGTCTTAGCACCTGCTGTCCCCTCTGCCTGGTCCCAACCTTCTGCCACCGCTTTCCAACGCGACAGGCCTCCCCCTACCCAAAGTTATCTCCCCAGTCGTATCTCAAGCATTTGCTCTGGCAAGCCTCCAGACCCCAAGATCAGGTTAGGTACCCCTCCTAAGGCTCCCCAGCCCTCTTTATTTGCATATTTATTTGCATATTTGTCCCATTCACCTAGGAGCTCCCTGAGGCAGGGACTGGGTCTTCTTTGTTCATGGCTGTAGTATCCTCAGCACCTTGGGCAGAGCTTGGCACATTGTAGGTGCTCAATTAAAATTGGGTGAGCAAATGAATCCTAAATAAATATGAGGGAATATCCACGGGGAGGAAGGAGCAGGTTTATTCCTTGTGGCCTTTGACAGGCAGAACCAGTTTCAGTGGCTGAAAAGCACAGCGAGGCTAATTTTTATTCCCTGTAGGAAAAAGCCTCTCCAATAACTGACATTTTGGTGTGGTACAGAACTTTCATCCCACTGTGGAAATTTTTAAACAGTGGTGGGTGGGTCACTTGCCCATCTTCCCACTACACAATGAATGCCTGGGAGGCAGGGATGGCATCTTTTTCTTCTCCTCGTGCCCAGAGCCTGTGAGGTTCATGCACACCACAGAGCTGCTCAGCCTGTGTGCCCTGAAAGGGGGTGTGTGGCTGTCTCCACCCCTGAAATCTTCTAAACCCGCACCTTCCTGTCTGGCAGCGACTCATCACATCTGGCTACCGAGAGCTTGAAATACAGCTGGGTTTGAATGGAGCGGTATGGTGAATGTGAAGTACACAATGGATTTTGAAGACTTAATATAAAAAAAGAAATGAAAATGTTCATAATTTGCTTACATGTTGAAATGATAATATTTTGAATATATTGGATTAAATTATATACATTATTAAAATTAATTTCAGCTGTTTCTTCATTTCTGTTTTTTAAGGAGATTACTAGATAATTTCAAATGTGGCTATCATTATATTTCTCTCATGGAGGGCTGGTCTAGAATAGTGGTCCCTGCCTTTCTTGGGTTTACTGTATGTTTTTAAAGCCAGTAGCCATGCACTGCATAATGACGTTTCAGTTGATGACAGCTGCACCCGACGGTGGCTCCGTAAGATCATAGCATAGCGGACATCGAAACCTGGTATATGGCACTTGCTACTGGCCTTGCAGATCAAGTCAGAGAAATGATTGATATTCATAATGGTGCTTGGACATTTGGTTTTCCATATGAAAACATAAAAACACTTCGGGAGGCCAAGGCGGGCAGATCACGAGGTCAAGAGATCAAGACCATCCTGGCCAACATGGTGGAACCCCGTCTCTACTAAAAATACAAAAAATTAGCTGGGCTTGGTGGTGCGTGCCTGTAGTCCCAGCTACTTGGGAGGCTGAGGCAGAAGAATCCCTTGAACCCAGGAGGTGGAGGTTGCGGTGAGCCGAGATTACGCCACTGCAGTCTGTCTCAAAACAAACAAACAAACAAAACAAAACAAAACAAAAAAACAGGTACTGCTTAATGACAGGATCTGTTCTGAGTAATGGGTCCTTAGGCGACTCCAGCCTTGTGGCAACATCAGAGTTTCTTACACAGCCCTAGAAGTCACTGCCTGCTACCACCCGGGCTGTCTGCTATAGCCTGTGACTCCTGGGCTACAAACCTGTACAGCACGTGACTGCACCGAACACTTGAGGTCAGTTTTCTTGGGGAAACTCTTCTTTTTCTTTCTCTCTCTCTTTTTGTTGAAACACTGTTTTACTCTGTTGCCCAGGCTGGAGTACAGTGGTGCAATCACGGCTCACTGCAACCTTGACCTCCAGGGCTCAAGTGATCCTCCCACCTTAGCCGCCCCCTCCACCGAGTAGTCAGGGATACAGGCTAATTTTTATTTATTTTTTTATTTTGTAGAGACAAGGCATCACTATGCTATCCAGTTTTGTCTCAACTCCTGTGCTCACGCAGCCCTCCTACCTTGGCTTCCTAAAGTGTTGGGATTACAGGCGTAAGCCACTGAGCCTGGCTCTTCTTTTCCTGCTTTCTTTTGCCTCTTCTCCAGCTGTGCATTCTTGTTCTGGTTTCAACAACTCCTCATTAGTCAATTTCTCAGGAACCATCTCTAGGACAGGAATTTTTCAACTTCATTGTAATCTTGTGGGACCATCACCATATAAGTGGTCCATTGTCAACCAAAACATTGTTAAGCAGCACATGACCATATATAAAGAGGAGTGCATGCAGCATCTAGGTTTGGGTAAGTACACTCTATGGTGTTCGCATAACAACAAAGTCACTTCATGATGCATTTCTCAGAACGTATCCACATCGTTAAGTGGTGCATGACTGTGTACTAGAGTTTTTAGCCTTTTATTGGAAAGAATCAAAAGCACCATTAACTATGACAAACTCAGCATTGTCCTCAGTGTACTTTCTGGGCTGGTATAGCTGAGTCACACAGGGTGTCTAAGGACCTCCTCAGTTCCTGGAATCCCCCTGGTTGGTGGCATGTGGGTGGCTACTAGGTAGGACTCTTTACTTCAAAGACCTTGCTGTCTTCTGTACATTGAAAATGCCATCTGTCTTTGCAAAGAGTTTCTTCCTGATTTGTGTACCCAACCCAAGGCACCGGACATGTGCTGAGGCATTCAGCCAACTCAGCCCGAAGTTCTTTCATGCAGAGATCAGTGTAAGATTTTTTTTTTAGATGGAGTCTCACTCTGTCACCAGGCTAGAGCGCAACGACACCAATCTTGGCTCACTGCAACCTCCGCCCCCCAGGCTCAAGCGATTCTCATGCCTCAGCTTCCTGAGTAGCTGGGATTACAGGCATGCATCACCACACCCAGCTGATTTTTTTTTGAATTTTTAGTAGAGGCAGGCTTTCACCATATTGGCCAGGATGGTCTCGATCCCTTGACCTCGTGATCTGCCCTTCTCAGCCTCCAAAGTGCTGCGATTACAGGCATAAGCCATCACACTCGGCCCAGTGTAAGATTTTTGTATCCTCATTTGCAAAAAAACCATATATATATATATATATTCTGTCAACTCATATGAAAAGTGCATATCCATTATATTAACCCAGCAATCCCATTCATAAAAATCTATCTTAAAAGGATTAAAGCGTGGCACTTAATCTTAGTTCCTCTGTTGAAGACCAGGGTTCTCTTACTGCCTGCTGGTTATGCTTCCCAGATGTTGAAGGTCGGCCTCTGTTTGATGGACATGGACCAAGTACAGTTGTTAAACACCTGGACTCACACCTGCATATACAGATGTCAATTGCAGGGTTGTTTGTGGTCAAAACAACAAAACCAGAAACAATGTAAATGTGATTGATAAGGAACATGTTGGTCCATCTGTATTGAGGAATATTTGTGGCTATGAAAAATCACAAGTTAGAGCCACACAAATAGATCTGGAGAAATACTACTGCGGGTTTTTGGTGGAAAGCAGCAAGTTTTGAGTCATGCTCACCGTAATGATTATACTTTGTGAGGTCTACAGGTCTGATTGTAGGAGCAGAAAACAGGCATGAATAGGGGTGTGCGAGACTGGTGTTGGGATGGGCTATATCCACTGTTGGTGCATTTTTTGGTTATTCGACTTACTTTGACAAGCGTGTGATACATTTATAATTTTAAAATAGGAGACTATAAGAAAACGTGGATGTACTTCATCAGTTGGTTGGCGGCTCCTTGTGAAAGAGGGGTGTGCCCCTGCATGCCGTGGAAAAGACAGAGGACCCAGTCCTAGATCCCTGCTTCGGAAAATCAAGCTCCACTCAGGCGGCCACTGCTGCTTCCAACCCTGGAAATCAACATCTTTTTCAAGCAAAATAATGTGCATGGCCTTTCCAGGTGGGAGACTGATTCTCTTCTTGCACGAAGGCTAGTTCCACTCAGTCTTGTCTGGGATCCTGCCAAGACATGAAACCAGAAAAAGGAAGAAAACACAAGAAGAACCAGGTTAAGCTGCAATGCTGGTTAAATTCACAGCCCGGGTGGAGCTGGGCGCTGGTGAGATTCACAGCAGTTGCAGTTCAGGGCTAGGGCTCCTCTCTGATCTGCTTTTCATTTGGGTCAGTTAAGTTCCTTCTAATTTCTGTTTCACTGTTCAGCTCCCAAAGAATTCCAGAAATGAGAATGCCTTCCCTGGCCAGTAGCCTCCTGGCTCTTTGTGTCTGAACCAATCAGGCATGTTTCCTCTTGCTCCCGCCTCTGATGTTTTATCGGACTCCACCATGTGTTTCCCATGCTGTCTGCCATGGAGTTTATGCCCTGAAGCACATTCAGGTGAGGAAATTCCTCAAGAATATAAATCACCACAGAGGTAGCAAAGACCACGTCTTGGCAGAGCTCCTGGGTTGAATGGGGCCATATGTGTTCCCAAGTGCAGAACTCCAAGGTCAGTCAAGCCCAAACAAGAAAGCTCAAATCCCAGAGGCCTCTGGAGCAGCTGTCTTGTTGCTGAAGCAGCCTGCTGAGTATCTGGGGACTCAGTGGTTGCATGCCTGGGACACATCTTCATTAGGAAGCCTGGGATTCGCTGCTCCATGCATGAACTAGGTTGGCAAGCTTGGCTGCAACAGAAAACTCAGCTCAAAGTGGCTTTAATAATGCGCGGAGTTTACTGGGGCCTGCTGTAAGTGAAAAGCGTATGTGGTTTCGGATAAGGCTGGATTTAGCAGCCCCAGCCATCTGGCCAGAAAGCTCCCCCTCACCTCTCCATTCTGCTTTTATTGTGTTGATTTCATCCTCTGATCATCTCCTCTCTTGGCCCCAAGACGTCAGCAAGTGCCCCTCGTCAGCTGTCTGCTTCCAGATCTCAAATCGATAGAAAAGAGGAAACTTCACTTCCCAGACAGCTCAAACCAAGGTCCCAGAACTGAGTCCTGCTGACTAGGGCCATGGGCCTACTCTGGGAGCCATGCCTGTGTCTAACCCGGGGAGGGGTGGGCTGCGTGGCTGGGTTGGTCAGGGCATCCCTGAAAGTGCTTGGGCCTCACTCAACTAGGGTGGTCAGGTTTAACAAATAAAAGTGCAGGGTTCCTGGTTAAACTTCAGATTTTAAATAAATAATGAAAAGCTTTTTAGCATGAAAGTTATTAGTATTTCCCAAATATAAATGAAAAAATATGGCCAGGCACGGTGGCTCACACATGTAATCCCAGCAATTTGGGAGGCCGAGGCGGGCGGATCACTTTAAGTCAGGAGTTCGAGACCAGCCTGGCAAACATGGTGAAACCCTGTCTCTACTAAAAATATAAAAATTAGCCAGGCAGGGTGGCAGGCGTCTGTAATCCCAGCTACTCGGGGGGTTGAGGAAGAAGAATTGCTTGAACCTGGGAGGCAAAGTTTGCAGTGAGCCAAGATCGTGTCACTGGACTCCATCCCGGGTGACAGAGCAAGATTCTATCTCAAAAGTAAAATAAAATATTTACATTTATTTATATTGAGAATGAACTGCCAGGCACCCAGGCAGGACCTCTGCTCTGTCAGTTCAGCTATATGTAAGGGTAGCTATCAGTCTAAATATATTTAAATTAATCATTGTTTATCTGAAATTCAAATTTAACTGGATGTTCTATATTTTGTCTGGGAAATATGTGCACATAGGAAATTTGAGTCCCTGGCAGACTAGGGGATGGGGAAGGGGATGAAGCGTGGGCAGCCAGGAATGTCAACTGGGGACCATGAAGAAGCTTCACTTGAGCTCGCTCAGATTTGATTGGATTTATAACAGCAAGAAGGCAGCAAGAGGATGTGTTTCCAAGCAGGGTATCTACCAGGCTGTGACTTTATTCATTTATTGATTGTTTGCTTTTATTGGGCTTATGATATACAATTCAGGGCCAACAGAATGTATCATTTAGAAAGCAAAAACATCCTGCCTCCTTAATCTCTACTAATTAATGGCCATTAAAAGTTTGTAACATGCTTTCCAGGAAGCTCTTCATGCAGAACGTCGAGTCCTAGGTGTTCTAGAAATGGTTGGTTTCACAATGAAGTATCACACTGTCCATCCTTTTTTGCAACTTCCTTTTTGCCTGACAACATACTTTCCACCAACTTTTAAAAGTTGTTTTTGGGGTGTGCCAAAAAAACGTACATTGTTTTTCATGTAAGGGCTGTGAAGAGTGAGTCAATCAAAAATGGAAGTTTTAGCTACAGTCTGTTGAGAAAATCGGAATGGCTGCTACCTGCCTCTCTTTCCTTCTTTTCCTACTTTCTCCCTAGAAGTGGTTTTACTCCAGGAATACAGACCCACCCCTCTGAAGCAAGCAAGAGCATGGCATTGGAACGCAAATGTGCCTCATGAACTTCACCCCGCCCAGCTCTGCCTGGAGTCACATTGACTTGGGGCTGAATCCTGGCCTTGGCACTTACAAGCATTCTGACCTTGAGCACATTTCTTAACCTCGGTAGCTTTGGCCTCCTTGTCTGGATAGTGGGGATGTTAATGTTGGCTCCCAGAGCTGTGATGCAATGACATGCAATTGGTGTGAAAATGACCCGCCAGTTTCCTCTCGGTTGCCCGCTGTCCAACAGAGTCGCCAAGTGCCTCCTACCCACCAGGGATAGTGCTGGGGGCTACTGCCCCTCTATTAGCCCCTGTTTGGGCTGGGGAGTGGGGGTATGTTACTCAGATTCATGGCTACATCATGAGAAACCCCCAACCCAGAAGAAACTGACAGGGCTTCTGTAGGGCAGCAAAAGGGCCACTGGAGAGCCCCAGGCATGGGCACTGCCTGAAAGACGGAGTCTGGTCAGCCAGGCAGGACTTCTGCTCCATCAGTTCGGCGGGGAGAGCGGAGATCCAGAGAAGAGAAGGCGTGGACGCAGCTCTGGGGTTCAGGAGGAGGCAGTCCCTGTGGGTTCTGGGAGCAAGTGGTCCTGAGGGGCAGGGCAGGGCAGGTCCCCAGCCGCTATTCTCACAAACTCCTTCCCAGTGTAGCCCTGGCTCCCAAGTCTTCAGACTATAGATGCATAATTGTCGTGAGTTTTCCTTACTTGAAAAATTTTTTTAAATTACATTTTAAACTAGAGTAATATGTATTCCTTGTAAAAAGTCAAGAGATACAAATAAGCCAAAAGTAGAATAAATTGCTTATATATTGCTTATATAAGTTGCTTATAATTCCAATACCCAAATACTGCTGCTATTTTGGAGCATATTCTTTTAAATCTTTAAGAATTTTATGCAAAAAGTAGTTATTGAGAGGCCGCCGGTGTCAGGCTCCGGGCTGGATTCTGGGGCCAGTGTCCAGTGAGGCTGTCGAGCCCCCGACCTCAGGTCTCACGGCCATGGGTCCAGTACCCTCATCCTGTCCCTCCTCCGCCCAGGCTGATGCTCTGCATGCAGTAAGTGTGATGGTTGATTTTACGTGTCAACTCGACTGGGCCACAGGATACCCAGGTATGTGGCTAAACATTCTGGATGTTTCCGTGAGAGTGTTTCTGGGTAAGTCTAACATTTGAATAGACTAGGCAAATCCAGCTGCCTTCCCTAATGGGGGTGGGCTTTGCCCAATTGCCTGAAAGCTTGATTGGAGCAAAAATGCCGACGCTTTCGCAAATAAGAGCAAATTCCTCCCAACTGACTCACCAGCTTTTTCCTGCCTGGAGACTTGAACTGAAACAGTGGCCCTCCCTGGGTTGTGAGCCTGCTAGCCTTTGACGGAACCACCCTCTCGGCTCTCCTGGGTTTCTGGGTCACCAACAGCAGTTCTTGGGATGGAGCATCCACAATCACGAAAACCAGCCCTTTAGGATGAATCTCTTCTGTGTACACATCCCGTGGGTTCTGTTTCTCTGAAGAACCCTGTCTGTGTCTGATACAGATGCAGATCTCTGCTCCCTCCCCTTTTCCTTTAAAAAGCACTTATTATGCACCTGCTGTATCAGGCTGATGGCTCAATAAGTGCTTGCTAAGGGAAGAGGGGAGGGAGCAGAGACCCTCCCATCCAAGGCACTGCAGGGGCCTCTGCTACCTGTCACTCTGCTGCTGTAGCTGCTGGGTGCCCTGCTGCCATGAGAAAAACCAGCCAGCTGACCCACGGACTCAGGATCCCAGCCACAGCCAGCTGCACCTGGGGCCAGGGGAGGGCCTTGGCTCACACCTGCTGCCCCACAGACCCTGCTGGCAAGGATCAGCGCCAGGACTGCATTCGGCTTCTGACTGCCTGAGCTCAAGAGCCTGTGTCTTAGTCGGGATTCTGTAAAGACACAGAACGGGTTTTGCTTATTTACTGTCTGGCTCACCTGGTGATGGAGGTGAAGTCTCACAACCTGCCATCTGCACGCTGGAGACCCAGGGAAGCCGGCGGCGCGGTTGGAAGGCCTGAGAGCTGAAGAGGTGATGGTGTCGATTCCAGCCCTGGTCTGAGGGCCGGGGGACCAGGACCACTGAGGGCGGAAAAGCAACGTCCTGCTCCAGTGGTCAGGCAAGCAGGGCGGATTCCTCCTTCCTCTGCCTTCTGTTCCATACAGACACTCGCTGGGCAGTTTGAGACCCACCCACCCTGGGCAGTGCCGTCTGTGTGACTCTGCCCACCAACTCAAACATGACTCTCTCCTGGAAATCCTCATGGACACCCCATTTCCACATAAGCTTCCTTCTGAGGCACTGGGGGTTCAGATGTGAACATGTTTGGGGGACACAATTCAAGCCATAACAGGAGGGGACACAGATGCGCTAAGTGGCTGCAGGAAAGATGGCATGAGAGTCGAGGGCGTGCAAAGCCCTGTGCCTGCACACAGTAGGTGCTCACTGCAGACAAGTGAGTGTGATTGGAAATCACACCTGGATGGAAGAGGGAGGGATGGCCTGGGCTGAGTGTGGATTTTGGTACCAGGCAACCGTGGGTTTGAATTCAAGCTGTGAGACCCTGGGCTCGTTGAAGGAACTGAATTCTTAAGCCATCCTAGGCCTCAGTTTCCACGCCTGTCAAAGAAAGATGAGGATTTTGAGGTCTGGCCCCAGGATGCTGCAAGAGCCCAGGAGGAGATCAGTGATAAGGAGCTCAGAGCCCGTGGCTGCTGGGGCTGCCATGACTAAGCCATGGGCTCCTTGGGAGGGTGGATGACCGGCCCCCACCACCTCACCCCAGCTGAGGAACAGCCGGCCTTGCAGTGGGCTCCTCGGATCCTTGTCACCTTTGTGGGTCACCTGGACAGCCTGGCACAGGGGCCTCGGCTGTGGGAGTTCCTTGGGGCTGGATTTTCATCTCCAGTATACACTGGGGTTTTCTCGGAGTGGGGGATGGTGGGACCCCCAGGGTTCCCGTCAGCCCCAAGGACTCCTGACCTGATTCAGGGGAGAAGGCTGGCACCCCTGGGGGTGTAAGAGGGCCCCAGTCCTGCCCAGGGCTAATTTCCTGTGGGACACCCGAAGAGGCTCTGGAACAACAGTGCCACTTAATTTTCACTTGACAATCCGCCTGTGGACAAGATGTCAGCGCAGGAAACTATTTATAGCAATTCCTCCCCCTCTAAGGTCACTCTGCCTGTGTGGGTTGGACTGAATTCTGCTTAATGGCCAGATGGATTCAGACAAGCAGAGTTTTAGTCCAAACTATGTCAGATGGCCATTTAGACAACTTTCCCTCTTCAATCATTCAATCATCGAAGTGTTCAATGAATGTTTCTGGGGCAATGGCAGTGTGCCAGGCAGTGGAGACAGGAGCAAAAGAGACAGGCCAGCCCCATTTCCATACAGCTCACTCTTGGTGTGATAGAATAATTGACCACTGGCAAAGCACCTACTATGTGCCAGGCAGCATTTTGGGCAGTCTTCCTTAAGAGACAGCTGGGAACAGGACAGACCAGTCCCTGTCTTTGCAAACTCAGTCTATTCAGCCACTGAAATGAATAAACTTTGACAAGCACCTACTTTGTCCAGTGGGGACGGCAGAGGGAGGGCGGGGCTCAGCCCTGCTCAAGCCACTCCTGGCCCCACTCGCCGTGGGAGGCGAGGGGGTGAAGCAGGAAGGAGGCTGGGCCCAGGGACCCTGGCTCTACCGCTGGGTGTTCTGTGATGAAGGGCAAGCCCCCAGCTTCCCTGGCCTCAGTTTCCACACCTGTAAGACATTTTGGGGTGCTGTGTATCTATAACTCCCAAAAGATGGTGAATGGGTGTCTCTGAGTGATGAAAAAACCAATCATTTCTGTGTAAATTGTTATTATTTTAGTTTCTGTTCGTTTTTGAGAGGGAGTCTCGCTCTGTCGCGCAGGCTGGAGTGCAGCAGCACAATCTTGGCTCATTGCAACCTCCGCCTCCTGAGTTCAATTCATTATCCTACCTCAGCCTCCTGAGTAGCTGGGATCATAGGGACACGCCACCACGCCCAGCTAATTTTTTGTAATTTTAGTAGAGATGAGGTTTCACCATGTTTGAAGACCGGGCTGGTCTCAAACTCCTGACCTCAAGTGGTCCGCTTGCCTCAGCCTCCCAAAGCACTCATCAGCCACTGTGCCTGGCCTGTTATCATTTGTTTTAATATGAACTAGAAAAAAATATACCCCTGGCACTTGAAGCCCACTCGACAGAGTTTCCCTGAAAGGGGTATATTTAAGTTAAGGAGAGTGGAGTGGTAATTGAACTAAGAAAAATGAAGTTAGTAAGAGTGCCAAGGACTATGGCACAGTCTCCACGCAGGGGCTCAGGTGGAGTTGGGACGAGGGGCTGCAGAGGATTTGGGAGGTTCAACTAGATGTGCAACCCTCTGGATGCAGGTCCCCAGCGCTCCCTGTGACTCCTGCTGGTGGGGAGGGCTGGGACATCCTGTTCAGAGTAGGTCTTGAACCCACTCCCCGGCATGCAGCTCTGGGCATGGCAGGGGCTGCTGTGACCGGCAGGGCCTTTGCAGGGAACTTGGGAGGTCCCTTGCAGGTGATTGGGGACTGGGTGTCCCCAAGCTTCCTAAGGAAGTCTGTTCAGGTCTCTGGGCCGTGCCTTCCTGCTTGCCACTCTACCCATCATGTGGTCTTCAGGGGTCCCTGCAGGTGCCTGCCTTGAGCTTCTCCCTTCAGGGTTGTGGGCCTCTGAGGAGGGCGCTGGGCCCCAGCTGTTGAGGGAGGAGCCAGGGCCTCTCCCCTCTCCCGCCAGCCTACAGAGAGGAGGGAGCCCATCAGGAGGAGCCCTCACTGGGAGAAGAAGCCCTCCAAATGCACACATGCCACTGCTGCTCTTTCTGTGTGCCCTTCTGCAGCTCGTCAGGTCTTCAGGACAGAGTTCCACCCTGTCAGCCCCATCCAGTGTCTGCCCCTCTAAACTTTTCTCCTACCTCCCAGTTCCACTGCCTTCTGAGCCTGAGGTCAGGAAAGCCACTTGGGGTTTTGGGGGGGCTCAGTTTGCCCATCTGTAAAATGGGCTCACAGCCATGTCTCCACCTCAAAGTGCTTTCGTGAGGACTGGCGCCTGCCTATGTGAGTGCCCAGCAAATTGCTGTGATTTTTCTGCAATGGCATTAATTTCCTAAGGCAGCTGGAACCAAAGCCCACAGCTGTGTGCTCCGTAACCAACATTGATTCTTCACACTTCTGGAGGCTGCAATTGAGCAGTTGAGCAGTGGGCAGGGCTGTGCTCCCTCTGGAGCTCTGCTGGCTGCAGGCCGGCCACCACATGTCCCGGCTGGGCTTGCGGTCGCCCCACCCCAGTCTCAGCCTCTGTCCTCACATGCCTTCTTCCCTCTGTTTCTCCTCTTCTAAGGACACCAGTCAGATTGGACGAGGGCCTGTCCGGACTCAGCATGACCTCATCCTCACTCGATTACATCTGGAATGATTCTATCTGCAAATAACATCACCTTCTGAGGTTCCAGGTAGATTAATTTTGGGGCGGACTCAATTCACCCCAGGACAGTGGCAATTTACTGCTTCAGCAAGATTTGTGAGGTCGGTATCATCACACCCGTTTATCAGATGAGTAAACTGAGGCTCAAGGGTGTGAGGGCCCCAACAGCTGCTAAGTGACAAATTCAGGACTTGTACCCAGATCCTTAGAACCCGGTGAGGGCAGAGAATGCATGGGTCCCGAAATTCATGCTGCCTCTCCCGCTGTACAACTCACGAGCTTGGTGGTAAACAGAAACGCTAAAGAAGAAGAAAAAAAGAAAACTCAAATGGGCTCTGTCTGTTTATCACCAAAGACTCTCTCCAGAGAGTGTGGTATACAATTTTAATATTTTAGGCAGGCAGGCAATGCTTCTTGTCTAGACATTGAAAAATGTTCAGACGCAGAATTATTTCCAAGCTCCAGCCAACACAGTGGCATCCCCCGCATTCCCCCAGATGAGGGGTGTCATTTACTTTGCATTTGTGAGCAGACATCACAGAGGCCTGATTGCTAGTGGGAGGCCCGGACCGCCGCGGGTCGCAGCATTGCTGTGGACCCCAGAGACGCCAGCAGACGTGTTGTCTTTTCCCAGACAACTGAGCTGCTTACAAATCAATAACAACTAGGTGGACGGGGGTGGGGGCTGGGTCACACTCAGGTGCCCGCGGCTGTCAGCAGGACGTGACTGTGCACGTGGGACGTTAACCCCCTGATTGGCTTTCCAGGAGAAGGTGTGAGGGATGAGGATCGGGCTGGCGCTTCCTGCTTTGCTTTCTGTCTCTCTTGTTGGCCATCCAGGAAGGTGAGCAAGTGGGCCCTCGGTTCTAATGGGTGATGAAGATGGTGACTGGTGCTCCAGTGCCAGACGTCTTCTGTGCTGTGTGCCCTTCAGCCGGTTCCTGTCCCTCTCTGTGCCTCAGATTCCTCATTGAGACAATGAGCTCGGGCTCCTGGGGGCTTGCAGAGTTGGCAAAACTGGTCTCTTGAGCCCCAACAGTTCCCATGGTACCCAGGTTGGAGACCAGCAGAAACAAGGCTGGAAGGCAGTGGAGGGTGAGGACAGTCTTCCAGGCTCAGGGAGGCTGCTCTTGGCTCTTCCCACCCAAGGCATGACCCATGTGGCCAGCACCAAGGATCTCTCCCACTTGCAGGTGAGGAAACTGAGGCTTAGAGCCAGGGCTTGGACTTTAGTCTTCCTGCCGTCAGGGGTCTCTCCTGGCTGCATCTTCGTTCACCAGTATTTCCCGAGTACTGGCTGTGCTCCAGGCTGGGCGCTGCAGGGTCCTGGTCTAGCATAGTCAAACCAACAGGGCTTCTGAACCCAAGCAGGGCAGGTGGGGCCCTGCGCCATCCCTGACTAAGATTCCCTACTCATCTTGTTATTAAGAGCACAGAGCATTTATTGAGCAGCTACTATATGCTGGGCGCCTTTGAACACTCAAGCTGCTATATGCTTCATTTCTTCGTTTTCCTAAAGGGGATCTATGATAGTGGAGAGAGGGGCGGGTTAGTGGAGGGGAAGCTGTCAGTAACCCCGATGTCCTTGAAACAGAGCAGCCCCCACCTTCCTAAGGTGGTGGACTTTTTCCTTCTCTCTTAAGCACCCCCCCTGCAGTGGTGTCTGGTAGAAACATGCACTCTCCACCCATCCAAGCAGGAGTAGCATAAATAGCACCAGGAACGTTGAGATCTCAGGCTTTGAGGCCCAGAGTTGAGTTGCTAGTTTACGTGATTTAATTACTGAAATAAACTGTGTATTGCTTTCCTTCCAACGTAACCTTGCCACATCTCAGAAATACTAGCCGAGCAAGCCTGCAGACCAATTCAGAGGCTGGCGGGTGCTCCCCCTGCTTAAGTACTCACTGTGTGCTGGGCTCTGTGCTTAGGACTCTGCGCACCGTGCTCACAGTCTTACAACAACCCTTTCGATGAGTCATGCCTTTGTCCCGTTCTACAGAGGAATAGAATGAGAACTGGCAAAGCTGGTGTGGTCAGCAGAAGATCAGCCTTTCAGAGATGCCCACGTCCTCAGACCCAGAACCTGTGCTCCGTTATGTTACATTATGTTACGTTATGTTACATTACGTTGTGTTACCTGATGTTACATTATGTTTTGATATGTTACAGAGGCCCACGGGGGGACTAAGGCCGCAGATGGAGTTCAGGTTGCTTATCAGTCAGACGGGAGCTTATCTGGGATTAGCAGATTGTCTCAATGGAACCAGGGCCCTAAAAAGTAGAAGAGCTGCCAGGAAAGTCAGCACAGAGCAATGTGATGTGAGGAGCCCAGCCAGGCTCTGAATGTGAAGGAAGGGACCACCGGGCAAGGAACGTGGGGGCCTCTACCCGTGGGGAACATAAAGCACGGATTCTCTGGAGTGTCCAGAAGGAACACGGCCTGCCTGATGTCTTTATTTTAGAGACCCATTGAAGATTTCTAGACTGGCCTCTAGGTCTGCAGGATCGTAAGCATGTTTTGTTTTCAGCCACTATGTGGTCATGTGGTACAGCAGCCACGGGAAACCCACACCGCGGGGTCCTCATCTGTGTTCGCGATGGGGGCTGCAACACAAAGTAGAAGAGGCCTCAGCCATTGATTCAGGGATAGCTATGTGGGCGAGGCCAGGAAACCCAAGGCAGTCTGGGGGCTCTGCTGGAGCCGGCAGGGGAGGAGCGCTGTGTTTCCATCGGGGCTGCTGAGGAGGTGCGGCAGGTGTCACGCTGAGCTGCTGGGGGCAGATTTGCGACCACTAGTTGCATGTTTATCTGAATGATAGAAGCTGGTGAGGGGGAAGCCAAACGGTGATGTCGTATGAGCTCCTGGATATACCATGCCTGAAGCCAACTGCTCTTACGTTCCAATATCCAGTAACTGTCCCTCTGTGCTCAGGCTGCTTTGAGTGTGTCTCACCATGTGCACCTGATAGACTCCCCGCCATCCCAGGATCCAAGCCTGTAGGATTCAAACTTGGCCTTACTGTTCCCTGTATACCTTCTCCCTTTCAGAGTTTCAGAGAGAGAGAGAACAGAAAGTCAGACGTCAGGGAGGCTTAGACTCATAATTGTGGAAAGGGACATCTGGAGAAGGCTTTCAGTCTTTTGCTTTATGCTGTGTGTCTGTGTGTGTGTGTGTGTGTGTGTGTGTGTGTGTGTGTGTGTGTGTGTGTACAGGGTCTCACTCAGTCTCTCAGGCTGAGTGCAGTGGTGCAATCACAGCTCACTGTAGCCTTGACCTCCCCAGCTAAAGAGGCCCTCCCACCTCAGCCTCCCAAGGAGCTGGGACCACTACATCCGGCTCATTTTTGTATTTTTTGTATAGACAGGATTTTGCTGCATTGCCCAGGCTGGTCTCAAACTCCTGGGCCAAGCAATCCTCCTGCCTCAGCGTCCCGAAGTGCTGGGGTTGCAGGTGTGAGCCACCGTGCCTGGCCTTGTTTTACAGTTTGCACTGAGGTGCAGAGAGGGGAGGTGACTTGCCTGAGGTCACCCAGCTGGTAAGAGACAGTGGAACTAAAATCTGCTTCCCAGCCTGCTCCTCCCCCCTTGGCCCTTTGCAGTCCCACAAGAAAGAGCTTCGGGTCTATAATTTCTAGCAGGTTTTTTGCTGACCGAACTCGGGAGAGACCTGAGCCTGCCCGGCCTTGTTTTTGCCACACTCATAACGCGGCCCACATTTCCTTGCGGTAGAGCTTTCAGAAGCTGGCGTTCTGGCTGGGCGGCTCTCCAGCCCAGGACTCGTCTGGAAGCAGTTTGTGGGGTCTGCCATCTGGTGAGCTGCGGCTGTGTGGTTAATATTTCCCAGACTAGGCTCCTTCCTGGTCCCCCAGACTCTCCGGCCCCCTCAAAGTGCGGCAGAGAGAGGAATGTGCTACAGGCAGGCCTCCCATCCACGCACGTCTCTCTCCTGGTTACCTGCCATGCTTCCAGGAGACAGATGGCTCCACTTAATGTGTGGCTTGGAGCCAGGAGGTCCTGGACCCCAGGGCGGCGATACCTAACGCCAGAGTGTCAGATGCAGGACTGGCTCCCATCCACCCCGCGCCAGCTGGGAACACGTCTTTTGTTTCTCCCTTCCTCCCCGTTCCCTCCTCTTTGTGTGTTTCAGCCTCTCCACCATTTTCAAAGACCTTTTTTATACACACCCCCACCCGGGGTTTATTCCAGAGAACTGTTCTCCTCTTACTGCCAGCTCGTCTGAGTGACTCCCTGTCTCTCATGATAAAATGGGTGTTTACTGAGCACCTACTAAGTGCCAGGGAGTTGCAGACAGTATTTGCTCCATAACAACCTGAGACAGGTATGATTCTGACTCAATTTCAGTACCAGAGCTGTGGAGTGACGACCTGAAGCCCACACAGCTTGGACGAGGCAAAAGCAGGGGCCGTGGTGACATGGATCTTATGTCCATTTTACTGTTGAGGAAACTGAGGCCCAGCACAGCCACATTGACTTGCTCAGACACACACAGCAGATGAGCTACCAAGATGAGGCCAGTCGTTATTTCCGACTTCCTTCTGGCTTCCTTTCTCCCACAGGGACCCCACTGAGCCATGAGCTCTAGAGTCTGTACAGAGGGCAGACGACCTTGACTATGGGAAAACTCGCCAGAAATTATAGACCTGAAGCTCTTTCTTGTGGGACTGCAAAGGGTCAAGCAGGCAGGAGCGGGCTGAGAGGCAGATTTTAGTTCCACTGTCTCTTACCAGCTGGGTGACCTCAGGCAAGTCACCTCCCCTCTCTGCACCTCAGTGCAAACTGTAAAACAAGGCCAGGCGCGGTGGCTCACACCTGTAACCCCAACACCTGGGGAGGCTGAGGCAGGAGGATTCCTTGAGCCCAGGAGTTCGAGACCAGCCTGGTCAATGTAGCAAAATCCTGTCTATCCAAAAAATACAAAAATGTTCCTTCTGGATTCTGCTCCAGGTCAAGGTGATTGGAAACCCTCCCTGGCCCTGGAAACCTTGAAGGTTGGTGGATGAGCGGGAGACTGGTAGGAGATGAGGTCGAAGAGACACCTTCTTAAATAAAGGAAGTCACCCATTGATAGCATGTGGACATTCAATTGCCATCGGCTAAGGCAAGTCAACCACATGCCACCAACAGTGTTCCATCCACCCCTGTGACAACGAGAGGGTGTGTGATCTCATCATCCCCACTTAGCAGAAGGGGCCAGAGGCTCCAGGAGGTGACCAGGCAGAGGAAGCCACTGCTGCCAAGGCTGTCCCCCACTGGGGCTTGTGGGCTGAGGAAGTGGGCTCGGCTAAACATGAAGGCCGGGGAGGACACCTGCCCGCACCTTGGCTTCCTCTGGATGACTGTGGCTCCACTTTCTCTATTTCCAGCCAAACATTTTAGAGACTCTTGGTAGCATAAGTCCATCTGCCTCTGGAGGCACCGGCCACCATGTCTGCTTGTGCATGGCTGGAGGGAGCTGCCTTTGCTGAACTTTCCTCCTGTGGGCTCTTAGGGTCTGCTCCTGAGAGCTAGACCTGAGAGTGGGCACCATTCTGGCTGTGTGTATGGATCTGCCAGCTTCCAGCGTACTGGAGAAGGGGCCGCAGAGGGCTATGGGTGGTGGCACCCGGCAGGGATGGCTCCCTGTATGCTGGTGGAGTTATACGCACGGAAGTGTCCTTGGAGGTGGTGTCTGTGCTTGTACCTGAGACTCTGGGTGCCCCTCTGGGTTTGGCCCAAGTGATCCTCCCACCTGTGTGCTGGGCCCAGAAACTCCTGTGAGGGAGCTCATACCTGCTGGGAAGCCAGGGCGGCACTGAGGGGTCTGTTCACTCATTCACACTAAAGTCCTCCTTGATACCCACGATCCTGGGCACCGGGACGCAGCCCCAGGCAGGGCTGGTGACATCTTTTCTCCTGAAACTCATGTTCTACTAGAAGAGTCACAAATAAAAATATAACACAGAGGAGTGACGAGCAATGGTAGGGTCAGGGAAGACTGCTCCCAGAAGATGGTCTTTGTGGGGACAACTGAGTGGAGAGAGAGACCCTTGGGGAAGGACTTGACAACAGAGAGCACGGAGGGCCTCAGGCGACGATTCCTGCTGTCTGCTGGCTCTGACCACATGCACTCAATGAGGCCCATTTCATAAATAGGAAACTGAGGCACAGGGAAGCTAGGCAACCTGCCCACAGTCCTCATGTGAAGACACAGCACAGGCAGGATTCAAAGCCAAGGCCCCTGGCTCCAGGGCTCGAACACATAAACCCCGGGCTATGCACAGTGCTCCCCTTGACACTCACCATATTCTGTGTCTCCAAGTGAGGAGCCTATGCATAGCTAACACAAAAGGATGGCAGCCCTGGGCACTGGCAGCCTGGCTGACAGAAAGCAGTCTCCCCCACCTGCGCCACATTCCCTCACCATTTCTGGGTGTCTTTAGGGGAGCTTTGAGTTGGCTCATGGGGTGGTCAGGCAGCTACAGCTTCCCAAGCTATCTGCGGCAGAGGGCTGGATTTGTGTCGCTAATCAGATACCCACATGGGGTCCCCTGCCACAAAGCTGAGGGACCATGCAGCATCCATCCATTGGTTTCCTAAAGCCTGGCCACATAGGTCCCCTTCACCTGCCTGAGGAGCCCCTGGCATGTCTCACTGACATCATCATACAAACAAGAGCATCCAGGTGGAGGCTGTGTCCCCAAACGCCTCCAGAGTCCCAGCCACTGGTTCAAACCCTGGGTGGTCTGAGTGCTGAACTTCAGTGCTCAAACTAGTACTGACCTTCGCGAGGCTTGGTGCTGCAGCTCTGCTGCGGGGGGTCCAGCCTGCAAGTCTCCAGTGACTCTAGCAGCTTCTGGACTGGAAGCAGCTGCCTACCCCAGTGTGTCCGTTCCCCCATGCTCCTGTCCTTTCTCTCCAGGATGGGTCTCACATCAATATGGCCCTCTCCCAGGAGGGACTCAGGGCTGGCATGGCTCTGCATAGCAGGTGTGGTGGATCAGGGCACCTGCCCAGCTCAGCCAGCCCCTGGTGCCCCTTCCTCTGAGCCAGGTGGAAGCAGCAGCCCTGGAAAGAAGAAACAGCCAGGAAAGCAGTCTCATGGAAGCCCAGGGGAGCAGAAAAATAAGGAAATAAAGCACATTCTATCCAACTTTAGGCAGGAAAAGCAGGGATTCAGCCCCTGCCTCATTTTCTTTCTCTTCTCTGAACAATCATTAAACTTTCCCCATGCTCAGCCCCCACTGTGGTTTTGCTGTGAGAACGATTCTGATCATGTTTTGTGTTCTCAGGCACTCAGTGTTCATCTCCTAGACAAATTGGGATGCCCTTGGGTTTGGGGCTTCCTGAGCCCCGTCTTCCCTTGGGCCCTCTTCATCTCTGTTTCAGAAACAGAAGGCATTCTTGAGCATGTGCTCCTGGGAGGTTCGGGACTAGGGTTAGTTTGATTTGTTCTCGGCACAAATGTGGTGGCGGCTTCATTTTAACGTGCTAAATGTTATGAAGTCATTTTGAATTATGTTGGGGGAAACTGTAGAGGCCCATCTCCTTTCCCCAGCCCACAGAGCACTTCATAATCACCTTCTTTCTGGAATGTCTATCAGAAACTTGTTATATTAAGATGAAAAGCTCTTTGTTAAAGTCATCAAACTGTAACTGAAAAACATGATTTTTTTGCCATGTATTTTTTTTCTCTCATCATCACCAAGAAAATTGACGTCTAAAATCCAGCATACAATTTGGCCTCATGGAGTGGAGTCATGTCTGCGGGTTTCTGTGATGCTTGCAGGGGCCTCTAATTAGATTCATGGTTCTCTATATGTGGGGCTCCAGCTTAATGCAATTTGGAAACTAATCATGTTTAATTAGGTTGTATTATTAGGGAACAACTGAGCAAATGGATTGTGCTGCATACTTGGGAAATGTACAAAAGCAATATCACAAAACACATAGTTATTACCAGCAAGATGAGCAAAAGTCATCTGCATTATGTTTGAGTGATTTGATTTGCTTCCACGTGGAGAGGTTCTGAGGCTTGTCCCTTCTTCTTTTCTTGAGATGGAGTCTCACTCTGTCACCCAGGCTGGAGTGCAGGGGCATGATCTCAGCTCACTGCAACCTCCACCTCCTGGGTTCAAGTGATTCCCCTGCCTCAGCCTCCTGAGTAGCTGGGACTGTGGGTGCGTTGTCACCACACGCAACTAATTTTTTGTATTTTTAGTAGACAGGTTTTCACCATGTTAGCCAGGATGGTCTCAATCTCCTGACTCATCATCTGCCCACCTTGGCCTCCCAAAGTGCTGGGATTACATGCAAGAACCACCGCATCTGACCCGGGAGCCCTGGTGTGAAGGGACCAAGCAACTCATCCTTCCATTTTTCCGCCCTCCTCCTACATTGGGCATTGGCCTGTCATTTGGACACCTCAACCTTGTTGCCACCTCAGGGCCCTTGTTCCTTCTTTACGGTGCTGTGTTTTAGTTGTGTCCAGGCTTAGGCAGGCCTCAGGGCCACCCCTCTCAGAATGGAGGTGACTTGATTTCAGGCAGTCATCTGGAGAAATCTTCTGCACCTGTGTACCACACGTCAGAGAAGAAATGTGCCGCATTTTCTTAGGGCACATGGTTCAAGGACAACCCAGGGCTTTAACCCCTCTCCAAGGTCCCCTAGGGCTGAAAACCTCCATGTCATACAGCAAAAGCATCTGTAAGAAAGCAACCAAAAGATGCCTGCATGGAGACTGCATGAGTCCAAGTTCAAGTTGAATTCATTTTCTGACAGCCGAGAAAGCTGTGAGATCTGGTGAGGAAAACTCTACAATCTCCAGCCCTCTGAGTTCCAGTGAGGCTGTTTCTGGGTCAGAAAATATCGTCATAGAAGTTCAAAGAGTATCTCAGTGACCCACCTGTTTATATGAGAACGAGGACTCTGGTTTAGCCATTAGATCAATTTCTGGACTGAGAGTCCAAAGAGAGGGCCACTGGATTTACCTCTTCAGTGTCTTTTTTTTTTCCATCTGTAAAATGGATCTACGAAAATGCAATTAATTGATGAATTCATTCGTTCCTTGAATATTTTATCTCCAGTCACTGGAGATTTAAAATAATGAGTTAAGACATGTTCCTGCCCTCAAGGAGCAGGGAATCTTTAGAAAGCGGAGCCTGAGGCAGCAAGGATTAAGCTACTGATGATTTATTGAGGGGTGCAAGCCCAGGGCAGTGGAGGTGAAAGAGAACAGAGGTGGTGAGGGAAGGTGCAGCCTGGGTGACGCAAGTGGCAGTGGATGCAGAGTTTTCCTTCCCAGGCTCATGGCTTTCTCCGCTGTCAAAAATGAATTCAATTTGAACTTGGACTCATGGAGTCTACATGCAGGCATCTTTTGGTTGCTTTCTTGCAGATGCTGATGCCGTGAGATACAGAGGTTTTCAGCCCCAAGTAAGCTTGGAGAGGGGTTGAAGCCCATTAGGGTGCCCAGCCACGTGTTCTCTCAGCACATGGACTTCCGTGGAAAGCCAAAAGCGGGGGACCACACCTCAAAGGAATCCACAGGAGAGAGAATCAGAAGGAATTCTACTCCACTGGGAGTGACCTCCCATGCCCTCCAGCTGCCTCACCCAGGCCCTCTGAGGCTGCTCAGGAAGCCCAAGGCCATGTCATGCTCTGTGGTGCCTCCACGTGTGAAAGTGGGGACTCGAGTGGTACAGCAGGTGCTGTCCAGGAAAGG